ACACACACAGACACACACACACACAGACACACACACAGAGACACAGATACAGACACACACAGACACACACACACAGACACAGACACACATAGACACACACACACAGACACACATAGACACAGACACACACACACACAGACACACACACAGAGACACAGACATACACACACACAGACACACACAGAGACACACACACAGAGACACACACAGAGACACACACAGAGACACACATACATACATAGACACACACACATGCGTGCACACACACACATGCACACACACGTCTGAGCAAGGCACCGGTAGGACCAGGTGCCTGGAGGCTAGTGTCTGGGGTCAGGGGCAGCAGCCTGGCTGAGGCCATGAGTCTGAAACTGTCCCTGTTGCTGACACTAGGTCTCAGGGGAGGGCCAGCAAGGATGGGCAGGACCCCCAGCAAGAGCAAGCCCCCCATCGGCGTCTGCAGGTGCAGGTGCAGGGCAGACGGGCCACCTGGTGCGCTGGCTCTCCCTCCGGCCACCACTAAGCACCAGCTGCACCCACGGCTGGGATAATCCCCCCGGGGCCCCTGGAGATGCCAGCCTTTGTGGCACCCCGCATCCAGAGTCCCTTCCCGCTGGGCCCTAAACGTCCTGCACCCACCCTCAGAACAGGTGATGCTGGGCGTGGGAGGGCGGGACAAGGGGCAGCAGGACCCGCCATCTTTTGAAAATGACCTCTCAGGAGCCAAGGCCTGCCTGAGGCTGCCGCAGCCCCCCACAGACAGACACCCAGTGGTGGCCTGCCCTGGCCCACGGCAGGGGACATGCCACTAAGAAACGGAAAGTGTGAAGCTGCTGTTTACAGGGGACAGTCCTTTGGGGTCGCGGCACTGGCCGGGCCCTGGACTCAGCCTGTCGGCTGCTCGGTGGGTGACACGCCGCCTCCTTTACAGACAACGTGACGTTGGAAACAGGAGTGGACGCTGCGGGAAGGAGGACGGATGTGCACTGAAGCGCAGAGTCCAAGCCTGAGGCACCCTGGCTTCTGGTGCTCGGTGCTGGCCCATCTGAAAAGTGACGGCTTGGGGACGCCGGTCAGGACGCGGGGGCAGCCCCCACACCGCCACTTGGCCCTGGCGCCTGCCTTTCTCTGAGTCAATCCGGGAAATAGAGGAGGGTACAAATGGCTGGACAGAGGTACTCGTGTCCCAGGAGCAAGACCAGGGAGACCAGTGTCACCAGGGGCTGGCTGAGTGGGGGACAACTCAGAGCAAGAAAATGTAGATCCCCAGGTGGACCGGACAAGAGGAAAGGCCAGGCAGAGACGCGCTCCTCTGTCTTATAAGGAGGACGCAGCTGATGTATTTAGGGACCAAAACACACAACAGAGCAGCTGATGCGGGACCCTGTCACCTGAGAAAATGCGCCTTTGAACTCAGCACCTAGACAGGCACGTCCTGCCACGCAGACCGCGCAGATTGCCAGGCAGGGGCCGCATTAGCAAATTGCCAGAAATAATGGATGCATTTTCAATTGATGCGCAAATATGTGCTTTAGAAAAGGGACCAGGGGACTTCCCGGTGCAGGCTGGGCTGCCACTCAGCCCCCGCGGGTAGGGGGAGGGTGCCACAGAGCCCAGGGCGCAGCCCTGGGTGAAGGGATTAGGGGTGGTTTTCATTTGTTTTGCTTATCTGTGCTTTCAGGCATTTCTACAATGAACCTGAATTACTTTTTTAATTAGAAAAGCAAATGAGAGAAGTCTAAGGAGGAGAAAGGGGTGAGAGAAATCGCCCAGGGGCTTAAGAAGGATCAGCTGTGCATTAGAGGCGTCAGTGCCAACAGCTCCCAAGGCCCCAGACTAATCCGGGGAGCCTGCGTCCTGTCTGCCAAGGCTGAGGACCTATTTTCACGGGGCCACTTTATCTTGGGGCGGGAGGTGTGCATTCTATTGCAGAAGAAACATTTTATCCACATTCACTGGAGGGGAATTATTCAGCATTTGCCAGGTGCAGGTCACAGGGCCACAGGTGACAGCAGCGGCCTCCACCGCAGGACATCAGACCCGAGGGACGTGCACGTGCAAAGGCGCGTGACAGCGTGGGGTGCAGCCTCGGAGGGTGTGGAGAGTTGGACCCTCTCCCAGAACAGACATGTCGGAGTTCTCGTCCCCAGGACCTGTGAACGTGACCTTATTTGGAAACAGGGTCCCTGCAGAGGTCACGAGGTTGACGTGAAGTCACCAGGGTGGGCGCCAGTGCAACATGGCTGCGTCCTTATGAAAGGGCAAGTTCAGGCCCAGAGACGGCCATGGACGCAGATCGGCCCTGTGTCCACAGCCCAGGAGCACCCAGGGGCTCCCGCCTGCTCGTCCCCGCCCCACCCGGGCTCAGGGCTGCTGGACGCACAGGACAGAGACCCGGGGGGCCGAGCCCCGCCCACCCGGGGGCCGAGCCCCGCCCACCCGGGGGCCGAGCCCCGCCCACCCGGGGGCCGAGCCCCGCCCACGGGCCGAGCCCCGCCCACCCGGGGGGCCGAGCCCCGCCCACGGGCCGAGCCCCGCCCACCCGGGGGGCCGAGCCCCGCCTACCTGGGTCTCCAGCTCCGTCACCTCCAGGTTCAGCTTGGTCAGCTGCTTGTTCACAAAAGTGATGAGCGACTGCAAGGCAGAGCAAGAGGGGACGTCGGGGACAGCACCGGCCCCGTGGGGTGTCCACCGGTACCTACTGCCACCAGGGCTCAGTGAGAAAGTCCCGTGCCAGACACGGGGCGCGTGCGGCCCGCTGTGGCTGGTGGCCTGGGGAGGAGCCCGGCAGGGGGCGGGGTCCCCGGTTCCCTCCAGGCCACTCCCACTGTGGGCCTGAGAAGGACAGTTGGAAGCAGGGGTCAGGGGGAGACCACCAGATCGCGCTGGTCCCTGGCTGGTGGCCCCGCTGACCCCACCTACTGAAAGGAGCAAGGTAACCATGGGCCACACACGTTCCACACAGGGACCACCCTGAGTCACACGGAGCTGGCCCAGGTTACCGTCACGGTGCCCCGGAGAGGGGGCAATGCCCCTGGCCCCACCAGGCAGGTGGGAAACTGAGGCTGGGTCCACACAACCTGCCTCAGGACACAGCCTGGAGGCGAGGACTCTGGTTGAACCTTCCTACCTCACTGTCCACCCATCTGCTCTGTCCCTGGGCCAGTAGTGGCTGGGGGGTGGGGCAGGGCGGGGACTCCCAGGTGCGGTACTTGGGACCTGAGGAAACTAGGAAGGCTCCGTCTGGGAGGACCGTGGGCGATTCCCACAGCCTGTTGTTACGTTTCCAGGACATAAAGATGTCACTGAGCCTGGACTGGCACTTCCCAAAAGTGGGTTCCACAGGACTGTAAGACGTCCTGCCCCCAAATGAAGATGCATAAATCTCACCATCCAAACCCACTTGGGAAGCGCGTCCACCCCATTCCTTCTTGGAGAGTTGCAATGCCAGGTGGCACATTAAAGGCTCTGACAAGTCCTGCACTGAGAAATCCATCCGGGGAAGCTGTCCTGACCTGAGAGATCCCTCCCTGGCTCACCGCCCACAGCTGCCTCCCCGGTGGGGCATCCCCAGGCCCTCGGCCAGGTGGCCCCAATCCCTTCTGGAGGCGCAGCGCCCTAGCAGATCTCCACAGCCTCGCTGGACTTTCCCATCCACGGCCTGGCCAACAGGATGCCTGGGTGGGGAGGCCCGGCCTTCCAGCTCCCGCCTGGAGACAAAGAGGCTGATGGCTGTGAATGTGGCTTCGCAGTAAGGAGGCCAGTGACACTGCCGTGACTGCTTGACAGCACTCCACACTGAGAAAAGCCCTGGGGGGAAGTCTCCAGGAACTGCCCGCAGGCTGGCGGGAGGGTGGGAGCTGCCCCCGCAGGGAGCGGACCGCGGAGTTGAGGGGTGCTGGCTTTGCGCACTGTGGCCAGTTTTGACTGATTCTGCTCCAGTCCCGCGGCCAGGTTTCAAACGCACGCTCTGCCCAGCAGGCGTCGAGACAGAGGCCGGGGAGGCGGGGGGACCAGCTCACCTTCTTCACCAAGTTGAGCTTGTCCGGCGCGTGATCGAAGAGCGTGTCGAAGGCGTCTCGCTCTGCAAGACAGGCCAGGAGGGGACGGGAGAGGGGCTGATGGAGGCACTCGTGCCCTGGTGGCCTGTCCCCCCGGGAAGCTCTGCCTGACGCTCCCGCCCGCCCGGAGTCTAATTCCTGCCAGAACTGAAGGGCGCCCTCGAGGAGGCTGGGCGAGCCGGGAGCCCCGACACCAGGCGCGCGCACAGGACGCCTCCAAGGTGCCCTTCAACAGGGCGGGAAGCTCTCCACGGCCCACAGGACGGCACTGGGACAGCTGCCCGGCCACTCCTGTCACTCAGGCCGTCCCCAACTCTCCCTCTCCACGTCCTTTGTCTACCTGTGAACGGCATCTGCAGATCCAGTCACCTCTGCCTCCCCAAAGCAGCTGCGCCCACACACAGGCTGCCCCCACCCTGGGGCGCCTGCAGCCTCCTGCTCAGTGGGCCTCCTGCTCAGCGGGCCTCTGGCTTTTCCCCATCCTCCCCTTTAAAGCGCTCCTGAATCCTTCCTTATCCTCCCGCCCAAACCACCGAGCCCAGCTCCTCTCCATGCTTAGAGTAGAGGCCCTTCTCCCTCCAGTAGGCCAAGGGGTGGATCAGGCACCCTCCACACTCAGGCCCTGACTTCATTCCACCCACCGGCCTCTGACTGCTCCTGCAACGAGCTACAGGCACAGCCAGCCCCGGGGCCTTTGCACCTGCCCTATGGCTGCCTCACTGCCTTGCGCCCCTAGGCACCTCTGAGGGGCTCCCAGCCTCCACCAGCTGTCCTTTCACTGAGGCACTTTTCTGCTCGACCATCCACTCCCCACACCTGGGACCACGGATGCCTGTCTCCTGCACTGTCTGGCTCCTGCTCGGGGAAGGGTAGGCCCCAGCGTGCAGAGAGCAAAGGAACTGAGACACTGCGGCTCCCGACAGCATCCCTGGGGAGTCTGCGTCCGCAGGGTCAACTTCAGGGACGGGGACGGGTGGCTCACGCCCCTGCAGTGCCCATCCACCCTCCTCCTCCCGGGAGGGCCCCTCGCTGCTCCGACCTCCACCTGGGTGGCCCCCGACGGCTGAGGACGTGGGAGGGCACGGGGCTGACTGGGCGGCCCCTGAGGGGGGCACGTGGACAGGAGCACAGAGCTGCGGGGACGGCCGCTGGCAGAAGGGCAGGCAGAGAGCGCGTGGAAGGGACCTGGGGCCTCCGGCTTCTGCCCTCGGGATCCCTGGGGCAGGGGGTGCTCAGGACGAGGACAGCAGAGACACCTCTGTCTCCAGCCAGGGCTTGGGCCTGAACCCTGCATGGAGGCCTCCCCTGCCCTCCCCGGGGTGGCCAGGCCAGCATCTGTGTCACCCCCAACCTGTCACAGGACAGTGAAGGAGGGAGGAGCCGCCAGGCCCTAAGGGAAGGAGCTGGACACCCAAGGGCCAGGGACAGGAGGTGGTGGACGTGCAGCTGGCCCGCCCAGCCCAGAGCTCCTGGGGCCCAGGAGCCTGCACATGCGCCTGGGCGGGGGCAGAAGCCTCCTCCGCCCAGAGCCTGGACGGCCCTCCCGCCGGCCTCCCAGCCTCAGCCTCCACCGCAGCAGATGTGAACGACTCTACCGTCATCAAAGTCAGGTTGTCCCCCATGAGACAATCTGTTAAGGGCACAAAAAGGGCTCAACTTCACCAGGCAAGACCCAGCTTTAGACGCTGCTTACGGAGGCCCCGGGAGCAGAGCGCTTGACGTCAGCGGGTATATTTAGCCAGGCCACTGCTGGGCTGGCGGAGTCAGGCCACACGGGAGGCCGCCGGGCAGGAGGGGACGCCCACGCTGGCTGCCGCTCACCTGCACCAGGGGCTGCAGGGCTCTGAAGGGGGACAGTGGGGACTAGGCACAGGACCCAGCACACATCTGTGTGCCCGGTGGGGATAAAGGTGGGTCCAGGCTGGGATCCCAGAGGCATGGCTTCAAGGTGCACAGGCTTCGAGGTGAACGGCCTCCTCCTCCCCAAGCCCACTTCCTGCTCTGAAAGCCGTGGGCACAGTCCCTGCCCACTGCCGTCCAGGAAGAGGAGGCGGCAGTGCAGGAAAGCCCAGTCCAGGAGGTCAGAGCTGGCCTCTGTCCCTTGGTGCTCCCTGAGGACGAAGGAGTCCTGCAGTTTGAGGGGGGTCTCTGGACAAGAGGAGGAGGGAGGATGGCGCTCTGGGTGGAGGGGACAGCACGTGGAACAGAGGGCGAGGAAGCCCAGAGTCAGGCCAAGAGTGGGGGGGCATGAGCAAGCTGGCGGGGGCAGCGGGCGCCGTGGGGCAGCCGGGCGCCGTGGGGGCAGCGGGCGCTGGGCAGTGCCGTAGCGTCAGGCTGCAGTTTCGAACCAGCTCGGCTGGCAGAAACGGGGAGGCCAGGAGGGGCGAGGTCAGGCTGTAAGGAGGAGAGGTGGGGGAGCACACGGCGTCCCTGTCCTCTCGCAGCCTGGGAAGGGCCCAGTGCTGGGGCGGGGGCGGCTGCCAGCGAGAAGAGGCACAGCCAGCCGTCGCCATGGAGACCAGACTACAACCTCGGCTCCCTGGAGAGCGCTTCCACCCAGAGAAAAGCCTGCTCCCCACCTCTGCAGGACCCTGGGGACAGAGAGGCAGGAGCGGCTCCTGGCAAAGCCCAGCAGCAGCGTCACCAGGGGCCACCTGGTGCCCTGGGAGCTCCCAGAGTGTCTAGGAGCTAGGCCCACGGGCACTAGGTGGGGGCTGGGGTGCTGCCCTGGTGCCGTCCGGCCGCAGGACGCTTGCAGTTCAGGGAGCCCTGAGCAGGGAGGAGGGGCAGGAGCCCACAGGTCCACCCCGTCTGCCAGGCACGCGGAGGCCTGCGGGTGTAGACATTGACACGGGCAAGAGCTACACACTCCCTGGGCACAGAGCACTCGGCCATAGGTGAGGCGGGTGGGAGCACCTGCGGTCACTGGGGTAAGTGACATCAGAGCCAGGAGCTGACGGGACGAGCATGGAGCAATCCTGAGGGGGCAGGAGGCCTGGGCAGGAGGCCTGGGGCCGCGGGTGGAGTCTCCCCACGGGAGCAGGGCCTGGAGGCCAGAGGGGAGGTGTGCAAAGGGTGCTCAGAGAGACCCTCGGGCAGGCAGGGACGTATTAGGGAGGCTGGGGACCCCCCAAAAATGGTTGGTGCAAAGAACCCGGCAGCTGCAAGGGGCAAGCAGGGAGGCCACGGCGCCGGAGGCCGCGGTGTGTGTGGTCAGACCCGGGCAGCGGGCTGAAGGGGGCCGCGGGAGGTGCGCCACGGCCACCCCTGCTCCCCGGCCCGCCCCCCCTGAGGCCCGGCGGGGGACCAGGAGCTTGCCGTCTGCGTCAGCAGGAGCCCAGGCCGGGGGCGGGACGAGTCTCCTGTCACCCACTAATAGCCCCGTGTGGTGCTCAGAGCTGAGCGAGCACAGCCCTCGGCCTCTGGTGGCCCTGGCCTCCCCTCAGAGGCCAGGCCGCGCACCTGCCCCGTGCCCGCCCACTCCCAGGCCCCCACCAAGCTGATGCTCCGTGACCTCCCACAGCCGAGTCTACGGGCCGCAGAGGACGCGAGGGCCTGGGCCCCTCTGCCGGTGTCACCCCAGGGTTAGCTGCTCTGAGCAGGAAGGGGCAGGGTGCCCGGCGGGCACTCTCGGGCGCCCCACGCCGGCCCTGGGCTGCCCTCCTGCAGCCTCTCCCTCGGTGACCGTGACCAGCCTTCCCCCTCCTCCTTTATTTGTTTCTTAATAAGAACGACACTAAAAAAGGGTGGAATACAATCCCGTGTGGCAGTGAGTCCCGGCACAGCCTGAGGTCTCCGGAGGAAGCCCAGGGGACAGTATGCTGCCGTCTCTGGAACCCCAGGCCTTGGGGAAGTCATAGGGCGTGGCGCTGGCTGGTCCCCAGAACAGCCTCAAGGCTGGGCTTCAGGGGCATGCCTACCCGAGGACCCCAGTGACCGCACCTGTGCCAGCCGGGGCCGGCCCCTCCCCACCCGCTGGAGAACAGGCCCTGGGGGGCCAGTGCTCCTGGTTTGAAACGTCCCCCACAGGAGGCTCTGTCCAGGAGGCCAGCTGGGCTGCCCACCTCGGGGGTTCAAACACCGACACACGTGGCTGGTCCCTGTGCTGCCACCCCTCGTTGGTGATGGGGTCCCAGGCTTGAGTGGGGGGTGGGCCAGTGGTCAGGACCCTCTTTGGGACACCCCTGAAAACTTGCAGGAAAAACTAGCTGCAGGGGAGCAGGGCCCTCACTCATGTCACTCGGTCCTCTGTCCCTTACTCCCCCATTGCTGGTGAGGGACAGAGATGAAGGGGCAGCGAAAGGTCACCCGCTGGAACCAGAGCCTCGGTGGCCTGACCCCAGGGAGGGCTGTTAAACCAGAGACTGTGAGAAGCCCACCCCACAAAGGGCCCCTCCCTCCCTCCCAGAGCCACCCAGTCACCCGCGGTCACACAGGCAGTCCCCTCCCTCCCTCCACCCTGCCCCTCCTGCCCTGGTGCCCCATGGCCCTGGCTCCACTCCCCCGATGACCCATGAGCCCCAGGGCGCCCCAGTACTCACCAAACCGGCCCATCATCTGCCTGCAACAAGAAGAGGGGGACAGGGGGACAGGGGGAGAGGGGGACAGGGAGGGACAGGGAAGGAGGGGGACAGGGAGGGACAGGGAGAGAGGGGGACAGGGAGAGAGGGGGACAGGGAGGGAGGGGGACAGGGAGGGACAGGGAGA